ACGTCGCCTCCTCGCCCGGTATCGCTTTGCCAGGTTCTGGTGCTGCATATACTGCTGGATAATGCGTGTGGTGTTTAATGTGCTCCTAATTGCCAAAGTGAGCTGAGCGGCCTCCATGCTTGCCTTGGTATGGCGTCCGCACAGAAAAAAGGCGCGGAACAATTGTCTGCCGTTGCTCTGACGGAGGGAGGGGCGACTGACGACATGGCTTACAGGGTTGGCTTCAGGGAGCTAAAATCAACAAAGGGGGTGCCTGTACATCAAGGAGTATTTCAGGCAGGACTTCACGGAGGGTTCCAATAAGAAATGGTGCACCTAAGTTATCGTTCTTATTGGAACAAGGAGGTTAGTCTGGCCTCTGATTGATACATGGCTAGATTTACCTCGCTGCACCTTCTCTGTGAGTGACTGCAGTGTGACCTAGAGGAATGAGTCCCCTAGACAGGGGAGGAGGCAAATGAGTACAAAACAAATCTGGTCTATTTCTTGTTTTGACCCACTCCATCTATCTTTTACATCTTTAGCTGGCAGCAGACGGTGCAGAAGGACTGCATGCCATCCACATCTCATGGCTGCTCGGCAGAAGGTGGTAAAGTACGACTGCTAGCCATCCCCATCTCTTGCCTGCCTGGCAGAAGATGGTACAATACGACTGCTAGCAATCCTCATCTCTTGCCTGCCTGGCAGAAGATGGTACAGTACGACTGCTAGCAGTCCGTATCGCCTGCCCGCTCACCATAAGACGGTTCAATAGGACTGACTGCAGGACTAAAGAGAATGACCTGGTCAAGTCACTCCAAATTTAGTCCCTGCGCCCATGTCTGCCCAGGCGCTCCCAGCCGACGTGGCCAGGAGCACCTCGGACACGACGAGGATGACTACCAATCGTATTGCACCGTCTGCTGCCAGAAGGCAATGGGTTGCTGCTACTGTGCAGCAAAGCCGTACCGCGTCTGCCAGCACCCAGGAGACATAGGGTGACGGTTACCTGAGCGGGCTCCATGCTTGCCATGGTATGGCGTCTGCACAGGTAACTCAGGAAAAAAGGCGTGAAATGATTGTCTGCCCTTGCTTTCACGGAGGGAGGGAGGGAACGGGGGCCTGACGATATGTACCCAGAACCACCCGCGACAATGTTTTAGCCCCATCAGGCATTGGGATCTCAACCCAGAATTCCAATGGGCAGCGGAGACTGCGGGAACTGTGGGATAGCTACCCACAGTGCAACGCTCCGGAAGTCGACTCTAGCCTCGGTACTGTGGAAGCGCTCCGCCGAGTTAATGCACTTAATGCACTTAGAGCATTTTCTGTGGGGACACACACACTCGAATATATAAAACCGATTTCTAAAAAACCGACTTCTATAAATTCGACCTTATTCCGTAGTGTAGACATACCCTTAGAGACTAACCAATTTATTTGAGCATGAGCTTTCGTGTGCTCAAATAAATTGGTTAGTCTCTAAGGTGCCACAAGTACTCCTTTTCTTTTTGCGAATACAGACTAACACGGCTGTTACTCTGAAACCAGCTTTTGAAAGTATCTTGTCTCCTCATTGGTCATTTTGGTCAGGTGCCAGCGAGGTTACCTTTAGCTTCTTAACCCTTTACAGGTGAGAGGAGCTTTCCCCTGGCCAGGAGGGATTTCAAAGGGGTTTACCCTTCCCTTTATATTTATGACACACCCCATCCAACTGCCCCCTGCTCCCTGTCCCCTGACTGCCCCCCAGGACCCCCTGTCTCATATCCAACCCCCCAACCCCTTTACCATGCCGCTCAGAGCAGCATGTCTGGAGCTGCGCTGCCTGGCCGGAACCAGACATGCTGCCCTGCAGGAGCGCGCAGCCCCACTGCCCAGAGCTCTGCTCGTGTGGCTGCGGGGGAGGGGAGACAGCAGGGGAGGGGCCGGGGGAGCTCAGGGGCCGGGCAGGATGGTCCTGCAGGCTGGATGTGGCCTGCGGACTGTAGTTTGCCCACCTCTGACCTAGCCCCTCTGGACTCAGCTTTGATTCCCTCTGGCTTCCCCATACATAAACACATCCCTCACCCAGAACTTCACCCAACAGGTGTGAAGCTTCTGGGTTTACAATGTAACTTGCTTAGGAACATGCAGTAGTTGTGAAGCAATCAACAGACACACAGTTTGTTCAATCTATCATCTTTATACTCTTTATTTTTAACCATGTAATGCACAGGACAGAACAGATCATACAAAACAATAACTCATCCTAAATATAATATTCCTCACTAGCTCACCCTTCCCCTGAGAGATCTGTGTTCCATCCTGCCCCTGCAATAGCCTCCATCTTAACTGGTGCAAGATGGCTCTTTCCCCCGGTTCCCTCCTGTGAGTCCCTTTATACACTCCTGCTGGGGTCACCTGTTTCTTTTGTTCTGCCTCTTGGTAATTTTCCAATACTTCCCAACCCCCACAACCTTCAGACAAGAGGAGGAAGAGTCTTCTCTCATGTAGAGCAAACTTATTGTCCCAAGGTGTTTTACTTTAGATAGTGTTGTAGCTGTGTTGGTCCCAGGATGTGAGAGAGAAGGTAGGTTTCAGAGTAGCAGCCGTGTTAGTTTGTATCTGCAAAAAGAAAAGAAGTACTTGTGACACCTTAGAGACTAACAAATTTATTTGAGCATAAACTTTTGTGAACTACAGCTCACTTCATCGGATGCATCCGATGAAGTGAGCTGTAGCTCACAAAAGCTTATGCTCAGAGAGAAGATAGGTGGCCTGGCAGAGACATGACACAACCCAGCTAATTCATGGGAGACCAACGTATATACAGGCTTTCCATGACATAGTAATTTCATAAAATCAGCCAACATTTGTAAGTGGTACACACAGAACCCCCAATTTGTCACATGAAGAATCACTGAATTGTAATGACTTTGTCAGAGACCTTTCTGGCTCTGTCCCCTAGTTACACAGACTGGAGATGGCTGGCAGACTGTTTCCAGCCTTAGGAATCCTGTTCTTTTTTGCTATCAACCAGTATCCTTCAAGACTGAACCCTTTAGACTGCTTTGTCCAACATTATGTTTCTCTATCACCATCAGTGTGATATGTTCTGAATTCCAAGTTCCAGCATATGCTGCTATCTTGAGTTTAGACCTTCATGAGCCCCAGCCTCAATAAACTGAATGTCACAATTATAAAACATGAGTTACTGTATACTTAGCAGGTAGATAAGACACTTGACCTCCAACTTTGAATGTCACAATTAAAGGGACCACACGCTCTTTACTTGACATTCCATCTCACTATACTCAAATGCTTGACTTGTCAATCACAAGGGTAAATCCTGCCTCCATTGTGAAGTAAGGGACTGGAATTTCAGCATCAGGATCTGCTAGCATGGGGATTCTCAACGTTTTTTGAATCATAACCCACCTTCACATTATTATTTTTTATTTGGAGGCTGCATTCCCACATCCCTCTTACTCACATTTGGCCCAGCCACCTCACTGTCATAATGGAGGGGTGGCTGGACCAAATTTGAGTGGCACTGTGACCTTGTGCGCTAGGTTGCAACATCACTCACTCAGATTTGGCTTGGCACTTGCCCCTATCCCTCCTTTTTACTATAATTACTGAATTATTAGACAGCTCACTGTGCCCCTTAGAAAGTTTGATGAGCCCTTCTCCCTGTTTGACAACCTCTGTGCTAGAACAATACAGAGGAAAATTCTGAAGTACATATACCTCCACCACCTTTTTTTGTGTGGAAAGCTGCACCAAAATGCTGGCGATAATACTTTAGCATAGAGGACTGGCTATATGTTTCTTTATGCATTTAAGAAATTATAGAAATCATTCATGTTAGAGATTAGATTAACTCATTCCCCTGTAAATGTAGGATATAATCCCTTGGCACAGGATACATATGAGATTAAACGGAAAATAAACTTGTTTTTAGAAAATTATAATTTGAATGATCTGGTCCTTAGGCTGGAAACTATGATGCATATGAGTATTCTTACTCCCATGAACAGTCCTGCTGAAGTCAATGGTACTACTCATATGATTAAATTTAAGCACAAGTGTTACTGTTTGTGGCATCGAGACCTGCCAAGTCTCACTCTTTTGTGAAGACAAAGACTCTCATCAAGGATGAATTTTAAGCGTATTTCTCATTCTCTCTCCCTGAATTGAAGAATTTTGCAGTGGGTTTTCAAAGAGATACTTCAGAAATCCTTCAATTTGTTTTGAAAATTCCTTTCACAGTGCCCTAGCCTGAGATACCAGGCCAGATATATGCTGGGCTCCTCACCTAACAAATAATGAATTACAGTCCCTGCCCTGAAGAATGTACAGTGTACATTAGCAAGCGATCCTCAGAATGTCTGGATTTTCTGGGGAGAGCCGGATTGCACCATAACATTACATTTATTATTTTAACACAGTGGTTGAATATTGGTTTGGTTTTAGATTCACAGACAACATGATTTACTACTTCCCAGCAGGAACTGTTCCTATCTTCCCTCTACACTAGCCCAACACCTGCCAGCTTTCACTCACATTAACAATAATAATCAGAGCTGCTTCAAAATTGAAGCCTGTTCTCCTCACCAGCATGTGGAATTTATTCATCTAGATAAAAGGAATCCCAGATCCAAACCACTTCCAGTTCTGGTTTAGTGAAACCAAACCCCCAAGCTTAATGTGTTCAGCAAATTAAAACTCTCCCCTTTGCCCAATAATTTCCCAGACAGGAATCCTCAACCCCCAGCACCCCCTTCTTCCTCTGTGAGGGGGATCCTTGCACCCTGAGGGGCCCCCCCCTTTCTCTCCTAGAGGACCCCCCACGCCGTAACTGCCCCCCTCTCCTCTCCTCCCTTTGGGGGATCCCCGCCCCGCAACGGCTCCCTGTGGGGGATCCCCGCCCCCTCTGCCTGGGCGGGATCCCCGCGCCCCGAGCCGCCTGGCAGGGTCCCTCCCCCCGGCCGCGGCTCTTTCCGGTGCCCTCCCCCTGCCCGGACTGCCACATCCTCCGCTGACATCAGCCAGCGCCGCCATATTGGAGGAGAAGCCGCGTCCCGTCCGCTGCCTCCTCGGCTGCTCCTGCTGTCGGGGGAGCCGGCTCCTCTGCCCCGCGCGGCCGAGCCCTCCCCCATGAGTCCCCCCGGCCGGCCGCAGCCCCGGCGCGGCTAGCGACAGCCCCTGTCCCCGGCGCGGCCCCCCGCGCCCCCCGCCCCGCGCGCTCGGGCTTTCTCCCGCCCCCCGCGCCGCCGGCCGGAGCCATGACTTCCCTGACCCAGCGCAACTCGGGCCTGGTGCAGCGCCGCACCGAGGCCTCCCGCAGCGCTGCCGCCGACAAGGAGCGGGTGGCCGGGGGCGGCCCGGAGGAGGAGGGCCGCCGGGACGAGCAGGGCGACGACGAGAAGGGCGACTCCAAGGAAACCCGGCTCACCCTGATGGAGGAGGTGCTGCTGCTGGGCCTCAAGGACCGAGAGGTGCGGGGGACCGGGGGGGGGTCTGGTGCGGGACGTGGGACATCGGGGATGGGGGGCAGGGACTTGGGGGGGCTGAGATATGGGGTGGGCCAAGGATGTGGGTGCTGAAGTGGGGAGGCAGGGACTTGGAGGGGGGGCTGGGATCCAGGGGGAAGCCAAGGACCCGGCGGGAGGGGGGGCTGGGATCTTGGGGGGCCAAGGACTTTGGGGGGCTGAGATATGGGGTGGGCCAAGGACCTGACGGATGAGGGTGCTGAGATGGGGGGGGGGGAGGACCTGGCTGGGATCTTGGGAGGGGCAAGGACCTGACAAGAGGGGGGCTGGGATGGTGGGGGCAAGGACCTGGTAGCTGGGGCGGGGGAAAGGGACTGGACGTGGGGGCGGGGGAATTGGGGTTGGAGCCGAGGACTGGGCTGGGATCTGGGATGTGGGGGAAGCCTGGGGCCTTGTGGGTGGAGGGAGGGCTGGGATCTGGGGCAGTAGCCCAGGGCCTGGTGGTGGTTTTGGTGGTGGTGTTGGATTGGGGTGCCTTTGGAGGATTGCTTTGGTGCAGTGAATTTGAGAGGAGTAATGATTCTGGGGAAGAGGAGGTTTGGGTGCATGTAAGGGCTTTTTAGGCAGGATGCTGACTCTGGGTTTGGGGATAAAGGCAGGGACCTTGAAGATGCGGGTAAGGTACTCTAGAGACTATTGGGGTATGGAATTGGGGTACCAGGTCAGAGCTGTTATATTTTACCCAGCCTCCCACAGCTCATTTGGGGCTCTGGGAGACTGGTCAGTTCCATATGTTTTGTTGCACACAATAATACTAGGCCTTGGGGGTTGCTAAATTAATTGGATTTGCCAAATTGGAGGTGTAGATGTCAGTATGTGTAAAATATTTTGTTTTTAAAAAAAATTCTTTGCAATAAGCAGTTCTAGTTTAGTGTATGTCAAGATTTTATTTGTACCTCTTTAAAATGCTGGGAGATACGTTTGTTTCTGACAAAAATGGGCTTCAGACCCGAGAAGTGGGTAAAATTTATTAATCGTGGTGGTAAACAATTTTTTTCCTTGAATTTAGTATTTGAAATTTATTTTATTTTTAGTTGTGTTTGTGACATGATTATAGAAGGGTCTGGTTTAGTTCTACGAACATCTTTTTTTAGGGGGGAGGAGGGGAGAAAGGGTTTAATAGGGATAAAGAAAATAAATTCTGAAGTAGCAATCCTACAAAAGGGGACTGATTAGTTTGGTACATGTTATAGACTAATGCTGGTCTTTCATTCAGTTTTGATGTCACCTGTAAACTTTTCAAGCCAACTAGCAAATGCAGGCAGTGGGGGAAAGAAGGTACCTTCAAACTGTGTGTGTTCATTAGTAAGGTCTGATGTGAGATGGGACTGCTAGCATTATTATGTTTTGGATGACTTTTATTGCATGAAACCTAAAATTAATTAGCTGACTAAGAATGGCTAGGTTGAGAAGCAGCTGGTATAAAGTTGTGTATATTTTATTATATCCCTATTTCCTATCTCTTGTGTAATACTTGTTGTCTTAGGACATGTTCTTGTAATTGGATCTGCTTGAGTGGGCCTTTGCATTTGTGTGGAGTCCCAATAAAGTCATGAGGCCTCCACATTGACACATGGATCCATCCATGTGAATCTGATGGCTGTATCAGGGCCTTATGCCCTGGTCTTATGTATATTTAGATATGTTCTTAACTTTACACACAAGAGTAGTCCCACTGAAGTAAGGTTAAGCAAGTGCTTAAAGTCTTTGCAGGATCAGGGCTTTGGACCTCAAAATTCTCTTTGTACAGGTTATGTATCAAATTGTTATAGTTAGATCATTTATTCTGTCTCTTTCATAACTGCACATCCCCCAAGAGAATCGAAGGGTCCTTTCTACGGAAAGGAATCTTCTGTTGAGTATACTTGTATTTAATGTTTCTCTAGCAATGCAGATATTCATGGTACTTTACAGACAAAAGAAATATACCTGTCCCAGAGAGCATAGAGTTGAGAGAAAATATAAAGAGACATGAGGTCATCCACTGGGGTTAGGTAGAGGACATGTGGACAAGGGCTACAGCAATATGCAGTTCTTGAGGTTTGTGATAAATTTATCATGGGATTATACGCTTTGTGTCTGTCTGTCTACTTAGCTCTTCTGTAGAGCTTTCTGTTTCCAACTTAAAATCTGTCAACTTAAAGTCACTTATCTTTGAAAATATTTTACCTTCCATTGCTACAAGTAATACTTAACAGTAAACAAAAATAGTTTTCTCACTTTTTTCCAACTAGTCTACTTTGTGCATTTGACAGCACTTTATAGTCAGTTTAACTGTTTCTTACTGCATGCTTGGTTTCGCCTGTTTGTGTGAGTCTTTCTCAGAGCAAGAGTATAGAGAAAAACATATTTAAAATGAGTAAAGTGTGACTGTGAAACCACAAAAAGTGCCAGGGAGACTTAGGAGCAGGCGTAGTATTCAAAAGTACTTTAAACTCACTTTTAAAATTGAAAAGGAGTACTTGTGGCACCTTAGAGACTAACCAATTTATTTGAGCATGAGCTTTCGTGAGCTACAGCTCACTTCATCGGATGCATACCGTGGAAACTGCAGCAGACTTTATATACACACAGAGATCATAAAACAATACCTCCTCCCACCCCACTGTCCTGCTGGTAATAGCTTATCTAAAGTGATCATCAAGTTGGGCCATTTCCAGCACAAATCCAGGTTTTCTCACCCTCTACCCCCCCACACACAAACTCACTCTCCTGCTGGTAATAGCCCATCCAAAGTGACCACTCTCCCTACAAATGTGCATGATAATCAAGGTGGGCCATTTCCAGCACAAATCCAGGTTTTCTCACCCCCCCACCCCCATACACACACAAACTCACTCTCCTGCTGGCAATAGCTCATCTAAACTAACCACTCTCCAAGTTTAAATCCAAGTTTAACCAGAACGTCCGGGGGGGGGGGGAGTAGGAAAAAACAAGGGGAAATAGGCTACCTTGCATAATGACTTAGCCACTCCCAGTCTCTATTTAAGCCTAAATTAATAGTATCCAATTTGCAAATGAATTCCAATTCAGCAGTTTCTCGCTGGAGTCTGGATTTGAAGTTTTTTTGTTTTAAGATAGCGACCTTCATGTCTGTGATTGCGTGACCAGAGAGATTGAAGTGTTCTCCGACTGGTTTATGAATGTTATAATTCTTGACATCTGATTTGTGTCCATTTATTCTTTTACGTAGAGACTGTCCAGTTTGACCAATGTACATGGCAGAGGGGCATTGCTGGCACATGATGGCATATATCACATTGGTGGATGTGCAGGTGAACGAGCCTCTGATAGTGTGGCTGATGTTATTAGGCCCTGTGATGGTGTCCCCTGAATAGATATGTGGGCACAGTTGGCAACGGGCTTTGTTGCAAGGATAAGTTCCTGGGTTAGTGGTTCTGTTGTGTGGTATGTGGTTGTTGGTGAGTATTTGCTTCAGGTTGGGGGGCTGTCTGTAGGCAAGGACTGGCCTGTCTCCCAAGACTTGTGAGAGTGTTGGGTCATCCTTTAGGATAGGTTGTAGATCCTTAATAATGCATTGGATGGGTAACGGCCGTGTTAGTCTGTATTCTATATGCATCTGATGAAGTGAGCTGTAGCTCACGAAAGCTTATGCTCAAATAAATTGGTTAGTCTCTAAGGTGCCACAAGTACTCCTTTTCTTTTTTTAAAATTGACTAAATTTCAAGCTGACAAAGTCTTATCCACTTACTACGGTGGAATGTAATCACCTGCAAACAAAATGATTCAGTGTTGAGTTCTAGTTATAGAAAACTTTAGTATAGTTTTATTGAACTAAGATCACATGTTCTCCTAAAAGCTCTAGGTACCTGGCAGGAAAGATTCATTGGGAATTTAATATTCATATCTTAGCTAAATAATAGCTCTACCTTTTTCTTCTTGGAAGACTTGACGGAGTGGAGTGGTGGAAAGAGTCTAGACAGATGTGTTAATATTCTGTCAATATAATTTAATATAATCTAACATCACCTAAACTGTATACAGAAGGAGCCCTGTTGAAATGTATGCAATTTGTAATTTAAGTTTGTGGTGAGACTTTCTTTTAAAAAACTTTTTGAAAAAGGTTCAAACGGCAATGTAGCTTTTCGAATGTTATACAGCTAAATATGTTCAATGTATCATAGGTTTTTATGTGGATCCTATCAAAAGAGGTGCACTATTTTAATTAAATTGTAGCAAAATTCTTAAAGTATGCCTGCTGAGTGTAATAACTCTATTTTTGGTTCAGCAAAGCCTGGGACATCCTTGGTATGGAGAAATTTATTCCCCAAAAAAGAAAAAAAATACTTTCTTGCATTTTCTGTGTGCAGTATACACATGTTCAGAACACAAAGTCTGTTGGCCTTTGATCCTTACCTATGATATTGTTTGTACATTTTGAGTTCATATTATTTTTTTCCTGTTGATTATTCTTCTTTATTTTGTTTTTTCCACGTGCACATAACCATTTCTATATTTTAATAGGCAGGTAACATACAAAAGAAACAATTTTTAGTGTAAAAAAAATATATATATATGCACACGTACATGTTTCACGTTAAACATTCTGATGCATACTGTATTATAAATAATATAGATACTGAGGATACTGATGTAAATACATCTTGAGCCTATAGGCAAAATACTGACTTACAAAGGTTTAAATTTCTGTTAACCTCCTGTGTGCAAGCAATTTTCTATAGAGGTATATAGTCTTTGAGTGACACCAGTGTGACGTTTTAGATAAAAATCCAACTATTCCCATTTTTTGTTACAAAAAATACTATGGATTTTGGAGAGACAGATAGGTGATATGCCTTTTGTATAGAAGACAAAAGAATTGGCAAAATGATGGCCGAAGGAGTTATGTATGTTTATGATCATTTTTTGCGTGTTTGTGGGTCTGTAGCATACACAGAATGTTCAGGATCATATTTTTAAATAAT